GATAAAACTTATTATAATATATTACATATTTATATAATTAATTTAAAAAAAAAATTTTTTTAAAAATATTAATTATTTATAAAAGTAAATCAGAAGAGAATTTATAGTAAATAAGTAAGCAAATTTGCTTGCGAAATCCTACAATCTAAGGGATAAAAAAAAAATTATCAAATTATCAAATACTTATAATTTGTAAAAGCTGAGTTTTGATATTTTTTTTATTACTTATCCTATATGGGATTTTAATAAAATTCTTGTGAAGGTTTTTATAAGTTTCTATTTTATAGCTATTTATTGCATCATACAATTATATTTGAATTAATAATATGATATACCAACTTTAGAAACTTCAGGTTGAAATAGAAGATAAATTCAAAATTCAAATAAATCTTTTAGTCTAATCATTTATTACATTCTAAAAAATTTTTATTATTAGTTTTTATTTTTTTAGATTTAATTTAATAAAAATATTTATCAGCTTACTTGAAATTTATTGAGATTAACTTCACTAAATTCTTCAAATCTACTTATAATATACTTTTATTTTAACTTTTATATAATTTTATAGGTCATCATTACTTATGAAATTATCTATTCTTTTATCATTTCTAATATAAAAATTATTTATTATGAATATCATTTGTTTTATCAAAAACTAATATTCATTATAAAGATGAGGAACGAAACTCAAAAAGGCAATTAATAAACAGCCGAAACTATATTAAAACATAGTGAGGAGTACGACGAAACCCTAAAACCCAAAATTAGCCGAAACTATATTAAAAACATAGTAAGGGATATGATGAAATTATTTTGAGGGAGTTTCAGCTGGCATCTTTAATTCATTAGCAATTAACCTTGCAATTAATTTATAATTCTTTAGAAAATATTTTTAGATTAGGAAAATAGAGAATTGTAATTATACAGAAATCTATTTTATTAACTAAGGTATTATTATATTAGGATCATGATATTTCTCACTTAAAATCAATTTAATAGTAAAACAAACTGAGATTTAAATGATGTATTAAATTATAAAATATAAGATTTAGATATATCTAAATATTAAATATTATTTATCTCAATTTCTAACTTGTAAAATACAATTAGATGCAAGAAAATTAATTGTTAATATAATAAAAAAAAGTATATCATGCTAAATATATTTATTTTTTAATACATAAATATGTAATTGGGATGTTTGCTAGGAAAATAGGATTCTGAGTATTTTTTATTAAAATTTTAATATATATTGCATTTTAATCACTTTATCAAAAATTAAAATGCAATAAAAATTAAAGTTTTTAATAAAAATTTCTCAGAGTCCCATTTTTCTAGCAAACCTCCCAATTATCTGTTAAATTTTTTACTTTTATTAAGAATATTATACCAAAATATTAAGTTTCTTTAGGATGAAAATATTCATTTATAAATAAAATTATATATTTAGAATATGAGAAATATAAGTAAATTTAAATATAAAATATAAATTTTTTTCAGAAAATAAATCAATACCTTAATCAAATAAAAATATATAATTACTTATTTCTTGTCATATATGATGAATATGTTTTTAGTATATAATAAAACCTGAAACCTTTAATCTCAGATCTTATGAAAGTAACTGAAAATATGTAAAACATATTTTGATTTTTTTCATTTGATTATTATATTTTTTGAATAACAAGAATAGCTAAAGACTTAAAGCAAATTTTATTAATAAGGAAATTATGTTAAATTGGAAGAAACATGAAAAGTAATGAGATTTTTTAGCACAGTTATTATTGAAACGTATGAAAATAATAAAAACATTCTCATTATTTTTTTTGGGCTTTGTTTTTACTTCTTAATGCTACATAATTTTTGAGATCGGTCTAAAAGGTCGATATAATCAACGATAAAAATTGGAAAAATCGCGACCTACCTTACTGAGGTCAATTTCCAAAAATTCAATTCGCCTCTATTTTTCCACGACAATGTAAATTTCTAAATTCATTATTATTTGAAGGAATTTATTTAGTAAATGATTTATTTTCTATTTCTCATTTAGGCCAAGACGACCTCCAAAGAAAACAACCACCAGAAGTGTAACAAGAGCTGCAAAAGTGAGACTATTCTTCAATATTATCCGACTCATGAATGAAATTATTAACTGCTTAAATGTTTAGGAAAAAGCTGCAGCAGAAGCTGCTGCTCAAACCGATGCAACCTTTATAGATGGAATGGAAGCTGACGGATCATACGAGGTAGAAACAACATATTCCCCTTCACAAATAGAAATTGAAGAAAGCGAAGAAGTTGACGACAGTACAAACACTTCAATACAAATGGAAGTGGAAGAATCCGATAATTTTAATACTATTTCTTCACAAATGGAAGTTGATACTTTTACTGCTTTTGAACAAGAACAACAACAACCACCACCACCACCAGAAGTTATATCGAATAACTACTTAAATTTGGAAGCTTCAACTATGGATCCTATTCCATCAGCAGAATCGTCGTCTTCTGAAAGTAGCTTTCCAGCTCCAGTGAATCTTCATCTTGTACCAAGGCCCTTTAAAAATCCTTATTATAAAACTCCAAAAAAATTTAAAACACTTAAACAAATTCTAGTTGCTGAAAGAAATTTAAATACACCTTTAGATGTACCAACTTGTAAATAGCTTAATTTAATTATTTTGATTCAATTACTTTAATAATTATTTTTATTTGTTTATTTTTAGATTCTAATATAGAAGCACCGCCTTCAATTAGACCGCAAAAGAAATATTGTGATATTACGGGATTAGAAGTAAACAAATTCCCTTCAAATATGTACATTATGTTTTATATGTAATTACTTATCCTTTTATATTTATGTAGGCTAAATATACGGATCCAAAAACGCGTCTTCGATATCATTCTGCAGAGGTATATAAAGAAATTAAACAGTTGGCGCCTGGTGTCATCCAAGATTATCTTGGACTAAGACATGCTGCGGTTGTATTAAGATAATTCACCATAACTCAAAAAGCTTTGAAATGGTATAATTACGCGTTAAAATCTTGTTAAATTATATATATAAATGATATATATGAATATACACAATAATATATTTCATAAAATATTCTAAATATTCTAAATATTCTTATAATAATATTATAGGAAAAAAACTATATATAATTAAATTTTTTTTTCTGAATGGATATAAATCAATACAATATACAACTCCCCATATATTTTTTTCTATATTACAATGTTACTATCTATTACACTTTGTACAAAGTATATATATATATATATATATATTTATTATTATTATTATTATTTATGATAAATCGCATTTTCCTGGATCATCAATATTTTGCTCCTCATTAATGTCTTCACCAATATCAACATTTAATACTGCATTATCAACAACTGAATTCCTCTGTAATTCTAGTAAAAATCTAAATAAACCTGCAGCTTCTCTTATTCGAGAAAACTGAAGGCAAAATGCTTGTATCTCTATAAAGAACCTATTGACATCTATTATATTATTTCTAATAAGCGACTGAAGGAACACACATACCTTAAAAAAAAAAAATACTTTAGATTTCTTTTTATTCATCAAGCAATCACAAGAAGGTACATAAAAAAAAAAACCTACAATTCAACTTACCAAACGAACTTGACGATCCTGTATATTTCGATTTTGGCTTTCTTCACAAGCTCTTACACAATAAGAAAGATACTTATGTAAAAACTCAGGAGGGAGTGGAAAAGAAGTTGTTAGTCGATTTACAACATCCATGGAAGATCTCATCCTACTTCCTGGTTCCATGGAAGACTGCTGTGACCGTTCTGGATCATTAATTGCTACAAGCATATTCAAAAATCTATTTTTTAATATAAAATATTGGCTTAATATCTAGAATAAGTAAATCATGCAAAAAATTAAATTTAATGATACTTGCTTGTGAACTTGAGGAGATGTTTTAAGTTGTAACAATGCTTCTACAGCAATCCCAGGATTATTTTCAACTAGGTCAGGGAGCCTTTCTGGCGAGAGATCACATTGATAAACCAACTTATCATTCTTTTTAAATTGGCCCAGAATATACTTTGTTTGAACAACAATATGATTATTTAATTAAGGATTGATATGTAATAAATTGATACAAAATGTATTTTAATTACTAACTTCTTCTTCGGGCAATGTCAAAGCCCGCTGCAATGCTTTATCCATCAAAGCACGGGATTCATCTTGGCTCGTAAATTCTGTTATTAAATCATATTCCTGTTCTATATCTTGTTCATTATCATTATCATGAATATTTAACCGCTGAAGCTAGTTTAAATTATAGGAAATATTAATATTGAACTTAAAAAAAAATTCCTTGTGATTCAGTTAATATAATAATAATACCTCATGTTGAATCTCGGGAGTCCGAGAGGGTGCATAAGAACTTTCACTGACATCAAGCTCGTCAATTGCGGCCCATGACCAAGGCCGTGTTGAGTCATCATGCCTAATCATGATAATATGAGGTTTAGATAAACACAAATCCTAATACAAATTCCATTTTAGGTAACGAACCTTTCAGGCGATTCCTCTTTTGATGGTAATTGAACATCAAATTCTTGTTTAAGATAATATTCAAATTCTGCTACGTTTATATCTTCCGTATCAATTATTAATGAATTATCATCATGCGTAAATTGTTTATATACATCCACGGGTGACTTATCAGCTAACTAAATTGGTATATTGATTAAATATTATACACGGATGAAGAAACAAAGGGTTATTTCATTTGACGCAAAGGAATTGGTACCTGTGAACCCTTATCTGCCAAGATCATCGCTTCTACACGAAATTCAACCAACATATCATAATTGGTTTTAATTAAAGTGAGATTTGAAAAAAGAGCTTTGTAAAGGTTTAAAAATAGTATAAGGAATGGATTTTGATGAATAGGTACAACGTTGTATAAGTTGTAGAGAATATAAAGCGCCACAACTCTTTCGTTTGCCTATAAAATAACGCCAAAACAAAATATATTTTGATTTTCAAGTATAAAGCATAATTAAGAGTCTTTATGTTCCGGAACAAGTATAGAACAAGCACTTTAATGGCTTTGTTCGCTTAACGAACCTGCAACTTGTCATCCTCTAACAACGCCATCAACGCACAAGCCGCATCAAACCTTCTTTGTTCAGGAACTATTCCTCTGAAAGCAACCGCTATGTTTTCAAATGGCTGATCAAATATCTGTAGAAGATACTGAAATGTCGAAATTCCTTCAAAAGTCATTTTTTGTTAAAAAAAAAAAAATTATCTGGAATTTTTAAAACAATGAAAAATTTTCCACCACATTTGTACAAGTTTTGATGCACGTGCCACAAATAATTTAATTTAATTAATCAATTACGTGACGTATTAGAGCCCACGGGTTCGTGCGATGCAAAATTAAAAATTATGCATTTTAAAATTACTAAAAATGCAAAATATGCAAAAAAAATTTTTTATATAGTAAAAATATAAAATTTCAACATTTCAATAGAATTCTCTGCGCCTATCATCTAAAATTCTTTTATAATTGGAAAAACTACGTTCAACATCAATTCCCGAAATAGGTAACCATATATAAATTAACGCTACTTTTGATAAATTCGCCAATATTGATTTAAATCTAAATCACCATCCTCGAAAATTTCTGATAAACCACAATAAATTGCCCATTCAGTTATAATAGAATTAGAAGGATTTTGAATTCTGTAAATAAATTATAACTAACTAAATTATTCTATTTTGAAATGATTGAATAAATTGAGGATTAAAACATTGAATAGCATTAAATAATGGTAATGCAGGTCTGGGTCACTTACCCGACAATTATTTCGCCGACATTCATTTTACCGACGGTAATTTGACCGACAGGGTCATTTCGCCGACATTTGTTTCACCGACAGTTATTTGACCGACAGGATCGTTTCACTTTGCCGACAGTTATTTGACCAATACAGTAATTATTTTAATCGTTAAAAAATAAAAAAATTAATTTTAATAAAATAATTATTACGTTACATTTTAAATTTCTTTATTTCTTTTAATTGTTGAACAAAATGATCTTTATTGTAATTAAATTAAATTGATTATAAAATGATAAAATAATAAATTTACCATTTAAAATGAAAGGTTATGGGCAATTTCCCGAAGAAATTTATGACTGTTCTATTATTCCTATCACTATAAATTGTTTGAATTCGGGATTCGCAGTCACAATCTTTTTTTTTTGATAAAACTCGTGGTAACCCTCGTAAAATTGACTCTATTTCACATTGAACTTAATTTTGCTCTTTTTGGATTTCCTTTATAATTTTAAACACACCAACATGTGCATTACCCACCAATGTTTCCCATCTTCGATGCCAAGCCTCAACAAAATTTTGAGTTTTAGGAAAATTATTATCAATATTGTCAGTGATTGACCAAAGCGAGGGTGGAAATAATGGTTCAGCTCGAATTATATTTCCACTTCTTGATGTACGCCTTATTCTGCCATGAACATAATAGATTTCAAACCATTCCATAATTCTATCAGCTTCCTCTGGCATAATAGTTCTTAACTCATCAAAAGCTGTAGGAATATCATCAGGAGATAAAAATGCAAGTGCAGGAATATGACGAATTAGTAAACTAAAATTTTCGTCAGTTCCATATTGGGTAGCAAGACTAAGTCCTTGTACTTTACAATAAATATTTTGAGACAAATGAAAATGACACCCTTTGTTTTGAATCCCTTGAAATTCTGTATAGACAGCATTAATTGCAGCAAGTTCAAAATCTGTTAAAACAAACTGCGGTTGTAGATCAATATTATGTTCATCTCTGAAGTCAATCAAGTTTTGAAATAATGTTCTATAGCATTCTTCAGATTTGCTAGTCATTAATGCATAAATAAGAGGTAAAACTCTTGAATTTTCACTCCCTTCAACACATCTATGAATAGTATATAGTTGCTTGAATATAGTTGGAACTGTCTTGAATGTTTCATCTATTATCCAGAAAGATGATTGATTTAGTTGTTTAATATTAGCAACTGTTGTAAACATCAATATTCTATTATTATCTATAGTTAAATCCTTAATTAAAAAAATTAGATTCATCTAGAGTCTTTTGCAAATTTTCAGGAATGATAAGACTATCTAAAAACTGTAGTTCAGCAGGAAGATCAACATGTCACATTCGTTTAACAAACTGTTGAAGTGCATCGCGGAATAAAAGTTACAGATATATTTCATGTGAACTATTAGCTACTATAGTTTGAATAATTTGTACAGGCTGATCATTAGTTTGTTGAGCCCGTTCTTTTAATACATTGACAGCTTTTACAACATTAACTTGACTTGCTTCAGCAGCATGGTTATGATTAGAAACATTTTAAAGTTGATGCTGATCTTCAATTATATAGTAGTTGCTCGCCTATGACATTATAATGTATTATGTTTTTCACAATATCAGTAGTATCTATTTTTCTGATTCTTATCTTTAACCATAAGATAACCATTAATATTGATTTTGCTTTATTACGAATAAAAGTAATTACTTCACAAATAATATTATTCATTATTTGAAAAAAAATTTATAAAAAAGAAATAAAAGTTATATAAGAAAAAGGCATCGCGATATCTTTAAAATATCATTTTGCATTATATTGTAATGAAATTGAATTTCCTTTTATATATATATTAAATATCTATTTATTATAATTGATAACATTTTATTGTGACAGAAATACTTTTATATATAAATTAAACATTATTTTCACGTTATGTTTATAATTATAGAGCATTATGTAATAGTTTCAATTACTGAAATTGATTGCCAATTTTTTTAATAAATAGCATTTTTTTTAACAATATAATGCATTTTCGACGAAATGGTTTATCAGCGAAATGAATTTCGGTAAAATGATCCTATTGGTCAAATAACCGTCAGTGAAATGAATGTCAGTGAAATAACCCTGTCGGTCAAATGACCATTGGCAAAATGAATGTCGGTGAAATAATTGTCGGGTAAATGATCAGATCCCAATATTCATAATTGTATCATTTTTACATTAAATGATGGATTATTTGTTCCATTTTGTAAAAAAGCTTTTGTTTGTATAATTCTTGAAACAACAAAAGATGTAATAGCCAGATTTCTTATTTTAAAAAATTCAAGATCTAACATTATCTAAAAATTAAAAACTTTAATTTTGATATTTAAATAAATATAAAATAATTAAAAAAAAATTTAAATATTTAATATTTACCTTTGTGAATTAAATGAAATAAATTTAATTAAAATATCAATATAAAAAAATTTGACTTTAATTCTGAAAAATCTTTTTTAATTATTTAATAGCATTAGAATTTTTTTCTGCAGATTTTTCAATAAAAAATGTAATAAAATGTTGATAATATTTCTCCATCCAAGTTATAAATTTAAACCAAGAATTCTACCTAGTTTTAATAAGTAAAGGAGGTAAATTGGCAGATAAATCTTGTGTGTTTTCTTCATTAAATAAAATTTCATTTGTATTTAAAAGAATAGATTTTAAAATTAAATGTTCTCTCCATCTTCTTTTGAGTATACAAATAAAGTTTTAATATGTTTTACTACAATATCTAATAATTTAAAATGTTCAAAATCCACCCAAGTTTTACCAACAAGATTATAAATATGAGCAAAACATTTATTATGAAATAAGTTTGGTATTAAAGGAAATAAAATACTATTAAATGCTTTCTTCATATATGATACATTATTACTAATAAAAAATATTAAATTGGTAAAAGGAATATTATAGGAATGAATAGTATTAACAAAAGTTTATGCAATTGTTGAATGATTTACAACTTCTAAAAAAATGGTATTTACTAATTTAATATTATTATGATAACTAAATAATATATTAAGCATACTTCTTTCACAACTATCTGTTGTTTCATCCATAGTTATAGAAATTCTTTGGTTAGCTAATTCATTTATTAATACATTTTTTGCTGATTTAAAAACAGCTGGTAAATATCTTTCGCGTAAATGGTTTGCATTAACAACAGCTCCTCCTTTAATTTTTAATCATTAATATTAGTAATAAATATTTAAGACAAATAAATAAA